CATGCACTGAAACTACATGTGCCAACATGGAAATTGTTGCAAATCTGGGATTTGCCAAAGAGAATGAGACGACCCAATTTGTCTCTGGTAGTTCGCTACGTTCTACCAGAGGTGCTAGAGCCTGGAGCCTGAAACGTTATCGTCCGCTGTGTTGGGACAAAATTGTCCTGTGGGACTAGCAACATCTCCAAGTGAATGTGTTGACTCTAGCTGGAGTGTTAGGTAGAGAGAAATCCTTATCACGTGCTTGATACATATTAAAAATCATGAAGATAGCCATTATTATATGAACCCACAGTGTGCTAGTACTGGCTTGCTAGCTAAAGCCGCAAGGCGAAACAATTAATCCTTTGTTTGGTGACAGGTGAGGCCCTGCTAGTTGCCAAGTGGCTTGAGAGGCTCTATCTATGCAATGGCGCGAGGGGATTTTTGTGGCCACCAAACGTAGTGGCAGGATGTTGGCCTCTCGGTGACTGTAACCATAAAAAAGGGGAAGGGAGTGACAGGTGAGGCCCTCTCTATATACCATGCGAGGCGGCTAGCTCACGAGTGGCCCGATGGGTGTTTGCCTCCGAGCGTTGAGGCGGGGTGTTGGCCTCGCGGGACCACTATACGACAGGCGTAGATGCCAAGAAAGGAAAATATCTATTGGAAACCTATAGTCCCTAATTGCCAGTACGCTAAGGATATACCCAGGGGGAAACAGAAAATGTGTGTATATACCACATGAGCAGGTGTATGTACCTGGTAGTATGATTAGATACCCTTACTGGTCGTAAAGGTTATTAATACCTGTATCCCAGACGGGTAAAACAATGTATGAAAATCGAATATAGACATTTAAAAGCGTATATCCATATGTGTGTTATGCAAGTTTAATAGAGCAAAGTGCTCTGTCCCAATGTTTATTGTATGCTTGTAATGCCCCTGTTTGAAGGAAATTAACTTGTCGGGAGTGTTATATCATGTGTGATATGGAACACAACTGTACCCTGAAACATGAGTGTAGTGAACCATGACTGGCAGCTGAATAACCTAATAAGTGAAAATACATAATTGGAAGGACTTATATTTTAAGCGTGCAAATATTCCGTATTAGATTCTGGAAAACTGCATAGTGCTTTAAATAGTATGTGCATTCTTGGGTAAATGTATGCGTATTGTCAGTAAATGTAACTAAATGCCTATGAAGGCAGGTATGCAGGAATGATTATATGATAGTAAGCATGATTGTAAGGAAGTGTTATTGTGTAATTATAATTATAGTGGGAATGTTATGAGGGGAATAACCATATGTCTGAAAAGCCTGTAGTATACCGTTTGACAGATAGGAGTCAGTATAAAAGTGAAAATGATGTAGTTAGTTTGTTTGCTTATGAAGTGAAATAAAGTCAGAGAAGCCTGTAGTACACTGAATGACTGGTAAGGGTCAGCATGTAGGCGAAAATACCGTGGTTCGTTGGTTTGTACATGAAATGCAATAATGTCTGAGAAGCCTGTAGTACACCGAATGACCGGTAGAGGTCAGTGTGTAGGCTCAAATGCAGTGATTCGTTGGTTTGTAGATGAAATGCAATAATGTCTGAGAAGCCTGTAGTACACCGAATGACAGGTAGAGGTCAGTGTGTAGGCTCAAATGCAGTGGTTCGTTGGTTTGCACATGAAATGCAATAATGTCTGAGATGCCTGTAGTTACACCAAATGACTGGTAGGGGTCAGTGTCTTGGTGAAAATGCAGTGGTTTGTACATGAAATGCAAAAACTTCTAAGAAGCCTATAGTACACTGAATGACCGATAGGGGTCAGTGTCTAGGTGAAAATGCAGTGGTTCGTTGGTTTGTACATGAAATACAATAATATCTGAGAAGCCTGTAGTACACTGAATGACTGGTAGGGGTCAGTGTGTAGGTTAAAATGCAGTGGTTAATTGGTTTGTACATGAAATGCAATAATGTCTGAGATGCCTGTAGTACACCGAATGACCGGTAGGGGTCAGTGTGTAGATGAAAATGCAGTGGTTCATGGTTTGTACATGAAATGCAATAATGTCTAAGAAGCCTGTAGTACACCGAATGACCGGTAGGGGTCAGTGTGTAGGCACAAATGCAGTGGTTCGTTGGTTTGTACATGAAATGCAATAGTGTCTGAGATGCCTGTAGTTACACCAAATGACTGGTAGGGGTCAGTGTCTTGGTGAAAATGCAGTGATTTGTACATGAAATGCAAAAACGTCTAAGAAACCTGTAGTACACCGATGACCGATAGGCGTCAGTGTGTAGGCACAAATGCAGTGGTTCATACATGAAATGCAATAATGTCTGAGATGCCTGTAGTACACAGAATGACCGGTAGGGGTCAGTGTCTTGGTGAAAATGCAGTGAAAATGCAGTGGTTTGTACATGAAATGCAAAAACGTCTAAGAAACCTGTAGTACACCGATGACCGATAGGGGTCAGTGTGTAGGCACAAATGCAGTGGTTCGTACATGAAATGCAATAATGTCTGAGATGCCTGTAGTACACAGAATGACCGGTAGGGGTCAGTGTCTTGGTGAAAATGCAGTGGTTTGTACATGAAGTGCAAAAAACGTCTAAGAAACCTGTGGTACACCGATGACCGATAGGGGTCAGTGTGTAGGCACAAATGCATTGGTTCGTACATGAAATGCAATAATGTCTGAGATGCCTGTAGTACACAGAATGACCGGTAGGGGTCAGTGTCTTGGTGAAAATGCAGTGAAAATGCAGTGGTTTGTGCATGAAATGCAAAAACGTCTAAGAAACCTGTAGTACACCGATGACCGATAGGGGTCAGTGTATAGGCCCAAATGCAGTGGTTTGTACATGAAATACAATAATATCTGAGAAGCCTGTAGTACATCGAATGACCGATAGGGGTCAGTGTGTAGGCGAAAAATTGTATGTCGTTTGTAGTTTTAACCCAACAGATTTTTAACCAAAACAGATTTTAACCAACAGATTTTACATAAACAGCTAGGTGAGTATAAGGTAACGAAATAACCGTGCAAAACAAAAGGAAACCGTAAAGTGAGGACCCGTGCTGTGTTGAACGCCGTGGGAACTAATCCTGGCGCAACAGGTGGGTCAACTTACGGTTTGTGAGTCCCTGAGACACCAAATGCGATGCTGACCGGAGAGAAAGCCACTGGATTAATGGAAATCCCTGCTGCAGGATTCCTGGACACAGCTTGGAGTAGGAGACCTCATGGAGCAAAGGTGAAACCAAAATGGCGTCTTGTATGACCTGGAAGTGGATCTCATGCAAATGCTGACCTTGAACAGTCTATTCGTCTGACCAACAAAGGTAAGTAGGGAAAGGGGGGAGTCCCTTTTATAGGTCTATAGCCCCTCCCACAACTTCAGGCCATGCCTTCCAATATATATATAATTATATATATATATATATATATATATATATATATATATTAATATCAAATTACACGTAGACTAATACTGATTAAATATATATAATTATTGTTATATATATTTATATATAATAAAAAAATTTAATATGTAAATACGTTAAAAAATTAAATGAAAAAATAATTACAAAAATAAAAAATATATAGATTATATATAGTGTTTTATTTCGTTCTAACTGTATTGTGATATTAATATATATATATTTATATCAAAATACACGTAGAACGAAAAATATATATCTATATACATAAATACATACGTATATATCACTACATATAAATAAAAATATTTAAAAAAGAATTATATATATATACATACATATATATTCACATACATATATATATACATATATTAATTCTACATATATATTTATATAATATTTTTACATAATTAGGTATCTTAATTAATTACAATTAGTGGGACCTGCCTGACAACCCATGCCAAAAGTAAATGGAATTTAATTTGCTAGCACTATATTTAACCCTATAACTTTCCAAGACACCATAAAACCTGTACATGGGGGGTACTGTTTTACTCGGGAGACTTTGCTGAACACAAATATTAGTGTTTCAAAACGTAACCAATCTGGCGAATTTCAATTTCAAATGTAACGTGCTATATTTGACCCTGTAACTTGGGGTGACCCTGTAACCCCAAAACGCCATAAAACCTGTACATAGGGGGTACTGTTTTACACGTCAGACTTTGCTGAATACAAATATGTGTGTTTTATTGCAGTAAAAGCAAACAGTATTATGACATTGACCGTCAAAATGTCATGTAGAACTAAAAAAATCAAAACAAATCTTATTTTCTCCCATTTTTTTCATGTTAAATTATGTTTCATAGCTAAATATTTGATATTAAATGAAAGCCCTGTTTCCCCTGAATAAAATGATATATAATAAGGGTGGGTGTATTTAATATGAAAGAGGTGAATTACAGTTGGACAGACATGTAGCGCAAATGCCAGGTTTTGTTTACATTTTGTTTTGTTCACAACGTGTACATTTGGCTCCGTCCTTAAGGGGTTAATTGCCCATGTGCTGTATTGTCTCTCTCTTGTTGCAACTAACTAGAATGAAACTGAATCTATTTTAATTGTTTTTTTAGATGTTAAATTGTGTGGCTTCACTGCATTCTAAGTTTAAATAGCAAACAGTTTTTTGTTTATCTTTTGTCTGTTTGAACCATTGAATTCAGAATAGGAGCATAATGTTTACATGATAAAGGTATCAGAGCTAATACAGTGTGGTGGCTATTGTTTAGCCAGGTTATCATTTCCATTTTCAGACTGGAGTATGTTTAATAGCAAATGACCAACAACAGTTTGTATTTGGGGTAAATATTATTATGAAGTAAAGGTGCCTATATTAGATTGGTATTGTGATGGAATTAGCAGGCAGGAAGTTTAGCAGGCCAAGCTTGCCACAAGGCATATGTAGGTACATGTGTTTGTAGTATCAGTTAGTTAGTTACACGTAGCTAAGATACTGTCATCACTGTACTGAGCATGTGCAGGAATGCAGGAACTGGAATTACGCGTTCTTCTCCTTTGTTTCAGATGAGCCACGTGGTTAGACCGGATGGATGAGTTTAGACTCTATTCATTGATTAGGTTAAGGGAATGTGTGGGCGTAGCTAATTATGGGAAGAGCTACAGTGCTATATAAGGAATGTACTCTATGTATTCAGTACTCAGATCTTTGCTGTTTTTGGTGACATAAGTCCCTCTGAGTCCCGGTCGGTGAATCGAATAAAGATCTCTTCCTTCCTGAAGAAACCTGTGTCCATCTCTCTGTGCTTGGCCTCCGTCAGTTTCCCGGTAACATTTTGGTGCATTGGCCGGGAAGCTCATCGTTAACGGTGGCTAGGAAGCAGAGGCGTGAGACGGTCTATCTTTGCCCACGTTCTCTACAGCTGCACCCCTGAACTTCTGCGTGGACCTCCCTTCGTCTCGGCGCCACTGGTCTGTTGTCCAGGAGATCATCGGCCTCTACGTAGTAAGTACTGGGGTGTCCCCGTCGATGAGTGTGAACTCAGGTTCAGGAACGAGGAGGTAAGACGACTACTGTTTTAGACGGTGGACCCACTAGGGGTATTGGATACCGATTGTGCGGTAGGCCCATAAGGGGTTTGAATTGGAATTGTGTATGGAATTGGCCCCCTCCAGGGAGGGAAGGAGCGAAGGCGCACCGCTCATAATTAGACGCCCTGTAGTCAGCCCGTCTAATCTTGGTATGGAGTCAGGCTGGGTCTTGGTTGAATGTATATAGCCCAAGCCGGACACCGGTGTCTTGTCTAGACTAGCGTATCTAGGGTGTACATTTCGTTCGCTAGGTCGGAGGGACCGGGAGACTAAGCAGACTCTGGTGTACATTATCATTTGCTAGTTCTCAACCTATCTTGGCTAAGTGGGAAGGCGTGTAAATTTGGAACCCACTAGACTATTGATAGAGTAGATAGACTAAAAGGGTATTGTTGTAAATTCCGCCCTCTAGTTCGCTATATGTGGTGCTTGGGCAGCGACGGCTAACCAAAACGGATGTAAATAGTTTTAGGTAGTCCCTCGAGGTATTGTCCAATAGATTAGTTGGGAAACTGTAAATGTGTTAAAATTTATTATAGTAGAGTGTATATCTTGCTGGGTAGCGCAAGCTCTGCCGTCTAGCGGGAGTGTGAATAGTGTGTAACTGTATCATAGCGCACGGTACCATAACCATGTATTATAATCACTGATACTGTAAATAATCACTAATAACTGTCGTTTATGTTGTATGTTTAACACCATAACTACTATTAACTGACCTGTGACTTTAAAATTGTATTCTAACCAATGCTAACCGTACTATAACTACTGTTTGTAAAGACGATGTTACTAGGGTGTGTTATAGACGGGTAATTTAAACACTGAGAATTATAGCGTGGGTAATTGTATAATTTCGCCAAAAAAGGTACAGTAATAGTTATTTAGTGTGTGGTGTAACAGCTGTGTGTGTACGGGAATTCCCTGTATGATTTGTTGTGTGCGTTTGGCCTAGTAACTGTTCCACGTGGTGCTGTTGCCAAGGGAAACGGGTGTGACTGGTGGAAGTGTATTTTTGTTATGTTTCTATTGGAGACGACGCTCCATTGTTAAGTATGGGTGTGTTGGATTCAAAGATCGTTGATCCCTTAGATTGCATGTTAAAGAATTTTAAAAAGGGATATAATGTATGTGATTTTGGGGTAAAGATGTCTCCAACACGTTTGACTACTTTATGTAGCAGGGAATGGCCTGCCTTAGTGGTTGCATGGCCTCCACGTGGTAGTCTTGATCCTAATCTAGTGCAGCGTATACACGTAGCTGTATCTGGTAGGCCGGAACTTTACGACCAGTTTCCATATATTGATTGTTGGAAACAGGCCGTGGATGACTTGCCAAAATGGATCAGGGTGTGCCAAGAGGAGCAATGCCCCCTCCTGTTGGCCAGAACTCGTTTGTCCACCAAGGCCGTGATCACGCCCATTCTGGACACGCCCCCTGAGTCAGAGATTCCTTTACCGCCCCCTTACTCCTCCTCTACAGGAAGAGGAAGAGGAGGTGCGGCTAGTAATGCCACTCCCCTTGCCCCATTGTCTCCTCCTACCCCATCCTCTAGCTCAGAGCCTAGCCCACTTGTTCTAAACCCTCCTCTTCCGGTACCTACCCCCACTAACTACACCTATCCGGATTTGACGTCATTTCTGGTTCCTGGTCAGGCTCCTCCCAGCCCGGCCCGGAATATTCTGCTTACCAACCTCCCCTTCAGTAAAGAAAAAGCGTCCCCCTCCCCTCGTCTTACTATCCCTCGACCGGAACCCATAACTGACCTTCCTCAACGAAGCCCCATACTAACCCGACAATTGACCGGTACCCTTCAACACCGACATTATCAAATGCCTCTCCGATTGACACCGGGCCCGACACACATTAATGGTGAAGGCCAGTTACAACATGCGGACCCCGTATTTGTTTATGTTCGATTTACCACTATGGATTTGTTCAACTGGAAAACCCATAACTCCTCTTACACAGACAAACCTCAAGCCATGACAGATTTGATTACCTCCATAATCCAAACGCACAATCCCACCGTGCACAGAATCAGGCCAACCCGGTAGCATGGGCAGCAGCTCATTACCCAAACGTAGATCCGAATTGGAATGTTAATGGTGCTGATATGGCTCACCTAAAAGCTTATAGGGAAGCCATTATTACTGGCATGAAAGCCGGAGGGAAAAAGGCGATCAATATGTCAAAGACGGCTGAGGTATTGCAGAAATGTGATGAGTCGCCCAGTGCCTTTTATGACCGATTATTGGAGGCATACCGATTGTACAGGGAGTGCAGAATTATTAGGCAAGTTGTATTTTTGAGGATTAATTTTATTATTGAACAACAACCATGTTCTCAATGAACCCAAAAAACTCATTAATATCAAAGCTGAATATTTTTGGAAGTAGTTTTTAGTTTGTTTTTAGTTATAGCTATGTTAGGGGGATATCTGTGTGTGCAGGTGACTATTACTCAGGGCCGGTGCAAGGATTTTTGCCGCCCTAGGCAAAAGAAAGATTTGCCGCCCCCTCCACCCCCCCCCGGGACATCGCAATGCCCCACCCATATGATCTGCCATATGAACTAGTGCCAGTGCTGCACACAGTGTATGCTTACATTAAAAAGCCTGCAGGGACAAACTATATACACCACAACAACTTTATTAAGCTGCAGTGGTTCTGGGGACTATAGTGTCCATTTATTGTGAGGTAAAATAGAGATTAGTGTCACTAATAATATACTAGATTGCCTACTTACAATCAGATGAGGATGGTGATGGGCTCTGGCTGCAGTCTGGCTCCACTGGTCTGGTGTAGAGCAGGATCTCTGGAGGCGGTTTGTAACTGTGGTCACAAAATTCAATGTTCTGGGAGAACGGGAAGCAGCTCCATTGTTGGGGGCCTCTTACACAGCTCAAGGTCTGGGCCCCAGGGCCTGACGGTGAGTATGCCCATAAAGCCCACCCATACGTCCACCTACATGTTCCACCCATGAGTTCGCTCACAGGGAGTAGAGTGTGTAGGGGATGTGTTATTTGTTACTGTAGAGGATCTAATGTGTGTGCTTATGGAATGTAGTGTATAGGGATACCAGTTTGTGTAGGTGATGCAGTGTGTTTGTGTGTAGTGGAAGCAGTGTAAGGGATAGAAAGCAGTGAGTGTTTGTGTAAGGGATGTATTGTGTGTTCAGTGAGTGTTTGTGTAAGGGGATGCATTGTGTGAATCTGTGTTTGTATGCATAGGGATGCAAAGTGTGTTTCTGTGTGTGTATGTAAGGGATGCAGTGTGTGTGTGTCTGTAAGGGGTCGCGTTGAGTGTGTGTAAGAGATGCATTGTGTTTCTCTGTGTGTGTAAGAGAAGCAGTGTGTGTTTGCATGTGTGTGTAAGGGATGCATTGTGTGTTTCTGTGTATATGTGCAAAGGATGCATTGTCTTTATGTGTAGGGGTTGCATTGTGTGTTTCTCTGTGTGTAAGGGAAGCATGTTGTGTTTCTGTGTGTATAGGGATGCATTGTGTGTGTGTGTGCGCGCGTGGTGTGAAAGAGCTCCCTGTCCTGCCCCTGTCCTATAGAGCTCTCCCTTCCATTCCTTAGAGATCTCCCCTGCCCCTTAGTGGTCTCTCCTCTCCCCCCCACCTCCCTTAGTGGTCTCCTTTTCTCCCCGACTTTGCATTAGTGGTCTCTCCTCTCCCCCCACCCTCCCCTAGTGGTCTATCCTCCACCCCCCTCCCTTAGTGGTCTCTCCACCGGCCCCTCCCTCATTTAGTGGTCTCTCCCTCCCCTACGTTCTCATCTCCCACCCCCGTGTTCTCCTCTTATTCTCCCCCTGTGTTCTCCTCTTATTCCCCCCTCCCTGTGTTCTCCTCTTCTTCTCCCCCGTCCCTGTAATCTCTTCTTCTCCCCACCTGTAATCTTCTCTTCTTCTCCCCCCTCCCTGTAATCTTCTCTTCTTCTCCCCCCTCCCTGTAATCTTCTCCCCTCCCCCCCTGTAATTTTCTCTTCTTCTTCTCTCCCCTAGATGGGCGAATAAGTTCTTATCTGCGATCACATTCTATGTTTCTATGTTTCCTTCCCTCCTGTAATCTCTTCTTCTCCCCCTCCCTCAATCTTCTTCTTCTTCCCCCCCTCCTCCAATCTTCTACTCCATCCTCCCTCCCTCCAATCTTCTTCTTCTCCCCCCTCCCTCCAATCTTCTCCACTCCCCCCTGCTTCCCTCCAATCTTCTTCTCCCCACTCCCTCCAATCTTCTCCACTCCCCCCTCCATGTAATCTTCTCCTCCCCCCTCCCTGTAACCTTCTCCTCCCCCCTCCCTGTAACCTTCTCCTCCCCTCCCTCCCCTGTAACCTTCTCCACTCCCCCCTCCCTCCCTGTAACCTTCTCCCTCCCCCCTCCCTCCTGTAATCTTCTCCCCCCCTCCCATCCTCCCCCCTATGATCTTCTCCCCCCATAATCTTCTCCCCCCTCCCTCTGTCAATCTTCTTCCCCCCTCCTCCTCAATCTTCTCCCCCCCTCCCCTACCATAATCTTCTCCCCCCCTCTATAATCTTCTCTCCCACCCCCGTAATCCTCTCCTCCCCTCCCCTGTAGCGTAGCCGAGCTCCTATCCGGTCCGCGACCCGGCGTGCACTTCCTCAGTGTGCACTTCCTGTCAGTCCGGCCAGGTCGCGGACCAGAAAGGAGCTC